AAAATATATTCCTGGGAAGTTAATAAAATGAATATGCTTTGTTAGGCTTGGTGGGGAAAAAAGAGTCAAGTTGCTGCTATGCAAAACCTGCTGTAATATTTGTTTTTAAGCATGAGTGTCTAGGAGAAACATGCTAAGTAAAAAAGCATGATTTATTTTGTAAAAGACCATTTATATCATATATATTAAATGACACAGCTTTTACATTGTTAGAAAATTTTGTTATTCCAGGTGACCAGTTATTCCAGGTGTCCAGTAGGCTTGTTTTCTCTCTCTTAGCTCTTAATACTTTTGTATTTCTCCTTAGCTCCCAGTCTTATTCCTTTCCTTGATCATCTCCCCCAGTTGCTTCCAAGCTTTTTCACTAGCTTTCAGTTGATCTCAGTAGGCCTCTAGACTCCCAGTCACTAGGAGCCCAGTTTCCCTTGCAGCTATAAATCAGTCTTTGTACCAGCTTTGCCTAATATAGTGAGCGGAAGAGACTTGTTTTCCTTCATCCCTTTTCTGGCAGTAGGTCAAGAACTTTTTTGCTTCTTTTTGTACATTCGCCACACTGCCTGGCTCTACATTTCTCCATCTTGACATGCATGCAGACTCAGCTCTGTTAAGTTGTCATAAACTGATCGTCTCCTGCATCTCAAACCACCAGTTGCAAGGACAGGCCAGTTCATGCAGGTGGAAGCATTACCAGTGGAAACAGAGACACCAGGAAGATCAGCTACTAAAAATCTAGGCTGTCTCAACTGAGCAAGCAAAGCTGCAGTTTTTCTGATTTATGATAAGGCCAAATTGGGCAGATCTTCCATATGAATGGCAAAAAAACATTTCCCTGACCCAGGACCTTTTCATTCATGAACACAGCATTTGAAATCCTTGATAAAATGAAAATGCTACTTCATTTAGAACAAGGGAATGGTCAATATTATTCTCACAAATGTTAGAGATGATGTGTCTCCCTAATTTTGTTCTCAGAAATGCTCAGAAACATTCTGGCTGAAAGTATCAGTAAAAAAAAAAATGTATTAATTCTTACAGGGAACATTTTAGCCTGTACAGTCATAATTTGGCAATTTTAAAGAAGTGTAAAATATGATTTTGTAATGAGAGACTTCAAGCAACTGGAAAGATAGGCAGTGGTATTAGTCCCACCTGCTAAGAGACATGATTAAAGAGTGATTAATGTGTGCTACTATTTAAGGCTACAATCATGCAAAGGATATCTTCAAAAATGGAAAACTATTCTGGACTTAAATTGCCTTTGCTAAGGAAAAAAAAAAAAAAACTACTCTGGGTAATCACTAATTCTTTGCTTTAGAATATTTTTTGATTGAAGAATGAGATTGTATGCCCATTTGAGAAGGGTTTTTTTCCTCTTTTATATAGTCTTTCTAGTTATATAGCACAAGAGTAATTTAATTTCAGCATTTAACTATTTTTAATCTCTTAAAATTATCAGAATTGCTAGAAATAGCAATTATGTTTATGTCTGAATTAATAGATCTATGTTTTTGTTCTCAGCGTACTACATGCAATTATCTTGGAATCTTAATTTTGTCTCAGTATTTTAGAAACTGTGAAAAGATTTATTACAAATTCAGATGTAATTCTAACAGGAAATGTTCTTTTCTTTTTTTATATGATACTTTTTTTTACTGATTTTTTTTTTAACTTCAGTCCTTACTTTAAAAAAATAAGGATTTCAGTGTTAGTACTGCGTATATTATTTCAGTGTGGATTAGTCTTGGTGCTCTAGACTCTCCATGCTGAAATTTGGTTTGTGTTATGATAGTGGATAGCCTGTATCTAAGTGAAGATGTTATTAAGCCAACTAACTCATTTTTGTCTCTTGTATGATGCAGGACACTCATCGGAGTTAGTTCAGTAGCTGTGCACTTGCAAGTGTGAACATTAGGTTAGTGTTCGATATGGTGTTTAGAGCTGAGCCAAAAGAAATGTGTTTTTGATGGGGGTGTTGTTGCAAGAGCAGTAATCTGCTAGTCTTCCTTCCTTCTATATTCAATCTCACCTCATTACCTGTAAATTAGAGGGATAAGTTTGTAATCTGTGATGTTTTTCAGGTCGTATTGAAGTGATTGGTTTAGTACTGTCTCCACATAGCAGGTTTTACTCACCTGCCACAAAATGTTGGTCAGGACTATATAACACAGTCTGAGATTCTGATGCTGCGTCTAGGTATTTTTCATTGCGTACACAGGGCAAAGAAGATGTACAGTTATCTTTCAGGCAGCTGGCAGCACAAGCTGCAGTAGTGAAGATATGGTATAGCAGTGGAGTTAAAATACATGTTTATATGATTTTTGTAAAGTTAGATCCAAATGTTGACTCCAAGAAGCATTTTAAAAGCCTTCACTTGCAGATTTTTCACAATGTAAATATTCTCTGCTATTGCAGATTCAGATCAATGATGCCTAGACATTGCTTCCTTTCTTTGGCTTAGTAACAACTGAGGTACTTAACTTAAGGATGCAGAAAGAATTTTAGTCTCATTTTCAAGGTGGGTAGGTATGGCTTGATTTTTATCAATGACATCAATGAGGATGATTAGCTTAAATTGATTTAAAGGTTTCAGATGGTTGCTACATTTGTACATTTCAAATCCAAACACAAATATTCTACATACTCAGTGCGTTCCAGAATAACAAGATGCTACTAATATTGTGGCTTTCTGATGGTTATTCTCTCACTGTTACCCTTTCATATGCCTGATATATGTAAAAATGAGATAAAATGAGTCTCTCTCAGGCCTCACTATTTGAGAATTGTTAAATCATTATTATATCTATATATGAATGCTTTCATCTCTTTTTAAACTCTTTCTGCTCCAAGAAAATCATCCCTTTCTCTGCTCCGTTCACCTCTTAGCTGATCTGAGCACTCTGTTATGAGCAATGCCACAAGCTTTAAGTAAGGGCAGAAAAGTAGCTATTTCCACACTACACTGCATATAGAGATTACTGACACTATTCCACAGTCCTTTGCTTATACATGCTCTAAAACATTGCTTAATTCTGTCTGCTGGAAAATGGATCTTTTTAAATGAAAACATGGTCTGCAATACCTGCCAGGAAAGTCTTTTGATTTCCATTTTGGGTATTTGTTGTTTTCTTTATTTTCCTGCACTCTTAACATCTGTTCAAGGTTTATTACAAGATCCCCTTCTAGCCATAAAATAATCTGAATCATTTGGCTATTGAAGGTCATGAGTCCATAATTTTTCAATAGAGCTGCATGTATTTACGTATTTATTACATGAAAGAAAGCAGTGTGAAGACTGGTCAAAAATATTAGGGAGACCTTTGTTGTGTATTTCTTTCTAACAGAAAGCATTGTTGGCGTGCACTTGGTTCTGCATTTGTCACCTATGAGATAATATCCCATACTGGATTTAAGGAGAAAAAAAAAAAAAAAGATTTTCAGTTTTCAGATGGAAAATTTTCAGACAAATAACTGTCAGAGATAATTAGATCTTTGCAAGCATTCAGACATTATATCCACAGTCTTACTCAGCTACTATAGCATCTGTAGTACTAGGTACTACAGAAAATGATGCTGCTGCAGCAATGTAATGCAGTTGGGTGACTTAGTATCTTTTGCATTACCTAAAATGAAGAATTGGACATTTAGACAGTCATTTTTGCCACAGGAGTATGTCTTAAGCATTGTCTATACTTCATTATTTATGCTATAAGACAGTGCTTTGTTTAAAACTAAGAGAAGAATGACATTGATTTCAACATTTTTCTGTTCTGGATTTATTTACTGAACATTGTTTTTTCATGCAGGAGTGGCAATGAAGTTATCACTGGCATTTTAGCTAGTATATGACACTAGAATTCACATGAGTTGCATGTGAATCTAAGATCCATGCACTTAAGAATGAATTTGTTGTGAAGATCAAAATTGAGAATTTCATTTTGAACAATGATATGGCATGCATTACATTTCCTGCTTTTAGTTATATTAATATAACTTTCTGTACAAAACTACATTGCAAGACTTTATGATCTTCTATGAGTATTTTACTGACATGAGTACATTGGTAAGGACAATTTCTGCTAACTAATAAATCATTCAAATGCCTTTGTATCACTTTTGATAAAGGAATAGTCATTTTTACATAAAATTTTGTTTTTATGCTAACTTCATAGCAAATTTAACTTCTTTTAGAATTCATTGGCAAATAAATTAGATGAAATTTTCTGTAACAACCCCCCTATTTTGCTTATTTTGTTCCATTAGTCCATTATTCCAGTGATAACTAAATTGTTACTGACTTCTCTTGACTTCAACATGTAAAATATGTAAATTCTGTGTTTGTCAAAATTACTTGGCTACTAAGGAATGAGTGTGACATTAACCTGTGTGGGAAGAGAAATGAACAGTTTTTTTCACACTTTTGTAAAAAATATGACTTCATTTTCTGATGTGATTTCTGAGCTTTTTGGCTTTATAGCATAGTACTAATAAAATGGGGGTCTATGGATTGTTCAAATGTAATAGTTTGTTTAAAGGGTTGTTTTCCTTTCTGCGTGGCATTTCCATTATTTTCTCTGCAATGTCTGAATGGAACTTGCTGCTTTCTTGATGTTGTGGAAAATAAATATTTCTCCCTCATTTCCAAGAGAAAATACTTGGATGTGAAATAGTAAACTAAGAATGGAAAATTATAGTATTTATTGAAAAGCAAGTAGAAGAACACTGTACAGGTATAATTTAAATATTGTCACTACTCAGAATAGTTACTAGCAATTGTGAATTCTATTGTAAAATATCTAATTTACTCTGAGTTTTGTAATTTCTCTCTCAGTCTTGGCTGATTCTTGTTATAGCTTTTATACTGACTCCTTCTGCTCATTAGCCAGATAATTATTTTTTTAATCCTTTTTTGTGATACAAGACAATGGCATCCCATTTGTTCATTTGTAGGCTTGTTGGAGTAGATGCTGTTTGCATTACTCTAAATTTTTGTTTTTGATCAGTTTGTAGAAACTGTTGAAGAAAAGACATTTAGCACCACACTGACAAGATCAGAAATGGACCTTGACAGCTATCAAACTGCTTTAGAGGAAGTACTCACATGGCTTCTCTCTGCTGAAGACGCATTACAAGCACAAGGAGACATATCCAATGATGTAGAAGTTGTTAAAGAACAGTTTCACACCCATGAGGTACATATACTAAGCTTTCAGTAGTCTTATATCTGCTTGTATGCTATGTTAAAAGTCAGAGGTATAAAACAAGTAAAAATATTTCTAGGTTATTTTCACTCCTTTTTCTTTGTTTTTAATTTTGTTTTATACAATTCAAAGATATTACTAGAGACTACACCATATGCAAAAAGTCAAAATATTTATTTCTGTTTTTATTATAAGCTTTAGAGTGGGGGGCAGAAAAATCAAAAGTAAATTTGAAAATCAACTTTGGAAAAAAGATAAAACTGAACATTTCTCCTGTGACTGTTTTATTCTTCACAAAAATTGAACTTAAAAGAGAGTTTTCATCTTATTGTCAGGGTTTTATGATGGAATTAACAGCCCACCAAGGACGTGTCGGCCATGTTTTGCAAGTTGGAAGTCAACTTCTGTCACTTGGGAAACTTTCAGATGATGAAGAAAATGAAATCCAAGAACAAATGAATCTACTTAATTCTCGATGGGAAAGTCTCAGGGTAGCCAGCATGGAAAAACAAAGCAAGTAAGTAATATGTCAGCAAAAATATTATATATGTGGTTTGACTGGAACAGTCTTGAGTTTTACTAACAGGTCAGACTTTATTTCAATTCACTCTGGATTAGACTCAGTCTCAGATCTTTCTTTTCCTAAAATGTAATATGTATTGACCTCTAGATTTGCAGACTGTTTGGAGATGAGCACTATCAACAGCTTGGACACTAATAACTTTTTTGCCAGAATTTATATAAGCTACCTCACTTTTTCTCATTGTTTCAGCAAGTATCACACAGTGATAGAACTACAATGGAGGAGATCTTACTGAGAGACAAAGGGAAAAATCTTTAAAACCTGCAAAATATGATCCAAATATGATCCAATAAAAATCCAGTAAATAGAAGGTTAGCTTATCAGAAAATATTGTCCTACAGGTTTATCTGACAGCAAATTACACAATTCAAAAAAAGTTCTATATGTATTCAGAATTCTCATAGGAAATGTGTAATAACTATGCATTTTAGAGCATTTGATATGATGGTGTCTGTTTTCAGTAGTTAAAATTCTGAAACTAATCCTAATTTTACTTGTGGGAAAGTGCCATTTAGAGAAAGAATGGTCCATTGATTATCTGTATAATGCACCGTCTTTGCTGACGTCATTTAGTCATTTACTGTGTGTAGGAGTTATTTAATGTGCAATACAGAATAGACTACTTGAACATAAATCTTCAGATTATTCTTGTAATTTCAAATTAAAATAAACTTTAATAAGAGTAATACAATAATGTATATTCCCTGTTAGAGAAGAATTAGCAATAAATGCTATTGCGTATTTTCAAGTCTTGAAGCTAGACTTCATTACAGTCTTTCCACTAAGGTCTTAATTTTCCTCTCAGAAAGACATATTGCACAAGTCCTAAGTGAGCAACTCTCGTTGACTCCATTATAGCTGGAGAACAAGTAACAAGTCCTTTTGCAAGTGTGATATTAAGAAATAGCTGAATTTCTTTGGTGGTCAGGCCATTGTCCTCACTATGAGAATAAGAGAAGAAGAAAAGGATAAGCTTTAAGGGAGGAACACAATTTGCTGAACCAGCATTTATTCATTTCCTATCACCATTGCTGGAGTCTGAATATTGGGCTGTTTGGACCATTGCTCTGAACTAACAGGACATGCCTTTTATTACAAACTTCTCTATAGGACTCTTAGAACCTCCATTGTTTTTAACTAAGGGGATTTCCTGAGATGGAAATAGTTTTGTGTATTCAGTAGCCTGCCGTTGGTTTTTCTCCTAGCTATTAATTCAGTTTCTCCTTGAGCCTGTGTAAACTTTTGAGCATCCTTAACATCCTTTGACAATGAATTCCAATGAATTTTGTGCTGGTTTCTTCTCTAGCATGAAATACTGAAACATAGTGGGCATTTGTTTGGTTGTTTGTTTGTTAATTTAATTGATTCCCTCTAGTCGCTATACTGGAAGTGATGATCAGCAGTATACTCCTCAGTTTCTCCACATATATAAATACGTCATCTCTTTTCCAGACTGAAGATTATGAGCCTGATTAATTATTTCTCCCATGAGAGTTTTTCCATATCTTTGATTATCCATATCCTTCTTTCTGGTCTTTTTTCCAGTTCTAACTTGAAAGAAGACTAGAATCACACCCAGTATTAAATGGCAAACCAGGACATTATTCAATCACATAATAATGCCCTCTTTTTTCTTATATGTAATCCAAAATGTTTGATTTACTTTTCTGATTAATACCAGGTACTATATTGAGAAGTTATTTTTGTGCTTTTATCTGTTATAATCTTACATGTCTTTGAAAGTCTCTAAGTCTCAATTGTTGCTGGACTTCTAATGTCTCTCCAAGTAACTTCCTCCAGCTGTGCCATTTTATTTGAGAAGAAAAATCCATGACACTTTCCTGTAGGCAGTTTTTATTTACTATATTTATTTTCATTTAATTCAAGGAGCAATCTCATCTCTGAGTTGAAGAGTGTCTACCAAAATATCTTCTTAGATTGTTAAATTTATCTCCTAGGTACAGCTACAGGTCATTGCCCATATTTGTGTAATATGAAATCAGAGAGACCTGAAATAAAAGGGATAGTACACAAGAAATTAAGTGTTATTAATTCCATGAAACAGATTAGGGCAAAATAAAGTTTTGCAGGGGTGGTACACTTGGAGATGGCTAGTTTTGATCTATTGGGTCAACACCAGATTTCTAAATACCACCTGGAGGATTATGAACTTGACTGAGCTTTCATATCATTACATAACATATTTCTGAGTTAGTGTACCTCATTTAAACTCTGAGGGACCTCAGAGTTTTAGCTTCAGTTTAAAGTGTAATCTTTTGAGCGTGGTACTGATGACAGTGACATCTTTATCCAGACACAGATGTAATTTGTGAAGATGAGAACAGAAAGGCTGTCTACCCTCTGTGGTAGCAGCAGTAGGATATGCAAGTAAAGCAGTTTATGCTGCAGCACAGGGGAAACAAAAGCAAGTGATCAAAAATAGAGTAGAAAGACTTATTGATAAAGGATACTAAAAAAAATAGACTCAAGACTTGAAAAAATGTTGTCAGAATATTACAGAAAGTTGGGAACACTGTAATGCCATATGGAAAAGCAGCACAAATGGGGTTTACCTTGTATTTACTATGTATTGAAAATATTTGACTCCTACAGCAATCCATTAGCACACTGAAGAAAAGAACAGGATTTTTCATTTCTTTCCTGTCGTCTGCCTCTAAATAGGATTCTCTGTAGTAAAGCAACTCAGAGTGATAAATGAACCACTGGAGAGGAAAACCTAATACAATTTGCCCCTTTATGGAGGATTCCGCAACTATTAAAACACATTAAATTCAATGGAATAGTATTTTGTATTTGAAATGCATAAGGACCATACCATAAACGGAGATTACAATAATCTCCTGAGGTATATAAATGGATACTAAAACCTCTATCAGATGTTTATCGGAGTAATTTGAAAACCAGAAAGTACCTGAAAAATGGGAAGAAAAGAGAAACATTCTTCTACTTAAGAATCAGCTGTGATTATTTCATTTTCAAGTTTATGCTCCTTGCTTCAGAATAATATCAGTATTCTTTATAGTAAGTATTTCATCATATCTTGTTTTTTAAAACAAATTCTCTTTATTTTAGCAGATTTTCTATAGCACTTAGGATATTATTTCATTTATCACTAAAAAAAATCTCTCTAGGATGAAGCATTATATTTAATATTTTTAATACCCTAGTCCAGAACTTTAAGAGCAGAGAATGCACTCTGAAAAAAAAGGACATGAGGTAGATCTGAGATAGCCAGTCCTTGCAAACCACAGGGTATAATGATGAGGCACTTAAAGAAAGTGAGAGTGATTATGTTGGAAAAGATACTGCCTATATTTTCCAGCCATTATGATAATGAATTGATAAACGATTTGAAATTTAGCATATCATTAAGATCGGTGGGACCTTCTTCCTAGAAGAAAATCTTGAAAAAGATAAATTAGACAAGTAGTATTCTTTGATACCTAC